CCTTTAGAAAAGTCACCCAATTTGAAAAAAAAGGCAAGTAAGTTACATTTTAAGAACGAAATCACTTTAAATACATGAACATTACAGAACACAGTAACCACGTTTTTACCCAGCAAGGGAAGGGCAGGGTGAGCACAAAAACAGTCCCTCCTCTTCTGTCTTTAACAAGCCTCACCATTTCCCCACCAGGTATACCGAGCCCAGTGATGAAGTCGGGGTGAAAGCCAGTGCTGCGTAGGAAGGAGCTCGGGACAAGACATGTGGCCTGGAGCTGTGGGACCCTGGGCCCGACCGATGCTCTCAGTCTTGATTTCCTCCCCTGGAAAACCGGGCTAAGGGGCCTCACAGCGCTGTGCGGAGAATCAAATGAGATGATGGCAAAAGTACTGAGCACAAAGCCTGAGCCAGGAGAGGCCAGTGAGCAGCAGCTGCTCCTGCTGGCGTTGGTACTAAGGGAGGACCGGATGCAGTGCAGGGCCATCTGCACATGGAGGGGAGAAGTCAAAGGCCCAAAAGGCTGGCCAAGCCACAGGGAGTAGGGGGCACCCCAGCTGAGAGGTGGACAGCGGCATATGGGCATCACTCCCTGCAGGGCCGGCATCTGCGCTCACTCCAGCCTCTCCCAAGGGCAGAACTGGAAACCTGGGCCCATGAAACCCTTACAGAGGGCCAGGAGCCCCTGTCCATCACCAAGCTGAGGCTGCCACAAGTGGTTCCCTTTGTAGGAGGAAGAACAGCAGGACGTATAGGGAGGGATTTTCAGGGAACCCAGAGAAGCCAAGAGGTCCACGGTCCGCAAGGCGCTATCTGGAAGTAAAGGTCAGGCTGAATCCGCCCGGGATGGGAAAGTTCCAGAGACCTCAGCCAGGAGGCCGCCACCCCGCATGGCTCAGCAACCCATTAATGCCAGCACAAAACCCTTCCCCCACACACAGCCTTCTGACACCAGCTCCTAGCACCCTGACCCAGGCCCATCAGGTCTCCAGGAATGGGACAGCAGGCAGGAAGAGGGGGGAAAGCGAAGGACTCGGACGTTTCCACCGAGAGGCCGGGGTGAACCCCACAAGGGCAAGAGGGCTCGACGACCACTCGGGAAGTAAGACCACCAGGCAGGGGAGCGTCAAAGGCTACTCAGATGAATGTTTCTCTGGCTTCAAAGCTCAAAACAAAATACTTTTTATTGTTTAAAAAAGTCTTATTTTCTGGGATTTTCTGTAAAATAATCCAGTGGGGATAGACAGTAGTGGAGGCCTAGATCAGTGGTTGTCAAACCTTTTCTGTCTAGGGTTAAACAGTAAATATTTTCAGCTTTGAGGGCCAAAAAGCAAATCAATATTATGTTGGCATAAGAGAAAATAAATTTCCACAATTCTTTTGTTGATGAAATTCAAAATATAATTGAGTAGGGGATGGCAGATCCAGCCCTTGGCCATTGGCAAGGGAGCCGGCACTCAGACCTACTTCCTTCCTCCTCTGGGGATTTCTTTGCCCCCACAGAGGTAGAGGAAGAAAGCCCAGGCGGCTTTGCGGAGGTCTGGAGCGCTTAGCACAGGTTTCAAGGAATTCTCTGGGTGCCCTTGGGTGGGTTCCTAAGGAGGAGGCCTGGGTGGCCTGACCAGCACCTCACCGCCTCAGGACGACCGAGGATGGCACTGAACCCTCCGTGTCCAGGCCGGGCCGTCCTGAAAGGGTCCCTGCCCTGATCCCACAAAATAAAGGGAAGGGGGCGGGGAGGCGATCAGAAAGGATATATGAACATTTCCTAAGGACCAGCCTGACTGGTGTCACACCCAGAGTACAAAACCAAAGAGAAAAAATGACAAGAGGCAGGGTGTGGACGCCTGACTCCATGGGCCTTGTCAGATGGCAGCTGCCAGCACTGCTCCCCTCCCCAGAAGAGCTGGATTTGGGCTGTGGATTCCCCCCAAGTAGAACAACATCGCCCTAACCAGCTTCAGCAACTGAGCCTGAACCAGGAGTGTCCTTAAGACCTAAAGGGAACAGCAGTAATCACCACGTCTAGCTGAGAATATTCAGGGCCGCGCTCCTGCCAGACACTGGAGCGGGGAAAGGGAGCCACATGTACACATAACATCTGTAACACAGGCTCCCTGGCAGCCACTCTAAGCGCCGATGGAACACTCAGCCCAGTTGGGAGCCAGACTTGATTCTTAAAGACACGACCGACACACTATGCCTCGTGTCGAGGTGCAAGCAACTTTGCAGTGCACACACCAGTCTGAGCGGGAGCATGTGGCACTGTGCACAACCAGAATGTGTGCACAATCTCGTCACCTGCTCACTGTATGACTTTGATGGGGAGAAAAATGGGGAAGGACCACCGCCACTCAGGGATTCACCATGTGACTGAGCCATCTGCAGCTCCAGAGGGCTCCCAGCCCTTATTTCTAAGGGGAGGGCACAGAGACCCAGAGAAGCAAAGGGACTCATGGAAGAGAGGGCCTTGGCCCCCTGTCCTGCCAGCTCTGTCCACCCCCGCCCCACCCCCTCTCATCCTCTGCTTTTCCACCTCCTCTGAGAGCCTCAGGGCTTCCTCCCTCTGCTCCACTGACAACAGCAAAGAGGCTTTTCCATGTTTTTCACCAACTTGTTAATGATTTTCAGACCTTAAGTTATTCAGGCCATCCCCTGAAGCCACACTAGATTTGGAAACTTCTGCTCAACCAGCTCCAAATCTGCTCCCTGAAAAGCACCCCCTCCATGAACAGCTCTTTCTAAGGGGCCTGTGGCTGCGTGGGCAGGAGGTTACCAGGGCAATGTCTGACGTTTGCTTGGAACTCCAAGCCAAGATTTCGCACTCCCCACCCCATCCTTTTCCCAAAGGCACAAATCTCCTTCCCCCAGCAAATCTTATTGTTTCCCCAATTTAAAACCTGTGTCTTTACTGTTAAGGTGCAACCTGGTAAACAGGAAACGGTTCTCACAATCAACCTTGCAAACAGACACCTGCCTAGCAAAAAAAAAAAAATCAGTGCCATGGCCTAAGAATAAAGAACACAGCTTTGGGCTTCTGGTTCAAGATGGTGGCCTGAGTACATGGATATATCTTCTTTCCCTCTGGAGATGACTTTTAAAAACTGTTGCTGCCAAATAGAAGTCACAGCCGCGAACATGCGGGGTAGAGGGTACAGCCCTGAGAGGGCTACCCTGCCCAGCAGGCACAGGCTCTGCACTCAGAGCTCACAGGAAAGACAGTGGATGGGAGGAGGAAGTGTTCCAGCTTCCAGCTTTTCTGTACTTAACAAAATGAAAACAAACCTACAGCTCTAGCTCATCTGACTCCCGTGGAAGGGACAAGCAGCTGAATTAGGCAGCTAAATCATTTTGGTATCAAATTACTGTGTGTATTCTTATTTGGGTATTTATTATTTTCTACTTCTTTATAAGCTATAAGATTTAACTATAATCATTAGGAGAATGCAAGGAAAACAGTGAGCAGTGGGCATTTCAGAAAATGAAAGGCTCTATTAACAGCGAAGTTAAGGTAACATCTTTATTAGGCCCTCTTTCGGAATTAAGAAATAAAACTATTAGCCTACTATATTTTTAGAATTAAAATTTAGCCTGCCATCACTTGGCCTGGGTAGTAACATCACTTAAGTATAATGACTGAAGAAACCCTGAAAAGCTGGAAGTCAGAAGAACAAAGGTTTAGTCCTGTTTCTATATAACCTTACTCCATGTCTATGTGACTCAGTTTCCTTAAAAGAAAATGACTGGTATTGACCTTCCCCAAGGAATAGTGTGTGAAGCTAGAACATGCACCAAGAAAGACTGCAGAACACCAGAGAGTGATATGACCCAGTATTGCTGAGACAGGTAAAGAGGGGGACAGCAGGAGAACAGAAAGCCATCTGTAAAAACAGTGCAGCCAAACATAGGCTGAGTTAAACAACAACAACAAAAAAGATAAGGTGAGCTTTCTAATGACAACCCTGTGTCCTAAAAAAAAATTAAAAAGTCCAGTAAGAATCAGGGGCTTTTAGCAAGGATGCCAAGGCAATTAATTCCATAGGGATTCCAACAGTCTTTTCAATAACTGGTGCTGAGAAAACTGGATAGCCACATATGCAAAAGAACGATGTTGGACCCCTACCTCACACCATATAATATATAGGCATGCTTCAGAGATATTGCGAGTTTAGTTCCAGACGACCACAATAAAGCTACATGGAGTATCACAATAAAATGAATCATAATCTTTTTGCTGGTGGAGGGTGACAGCTGTGAAGTGCAATAAAGTGGGGTGCAATAAAACAAGGTATGCCATACAAAAGTAACTCAAAATGAAGCAGAGACCATTGTGAAAGCTGAACTATAAGAATTCTTGGAAGAAAACACAGACATAAATCTTCTTGACCTTGAATTAGGCAATGGTTTCTTAGATATGACATCAAAAAGTACAAGCAACGAAAGAAAAAATAGGTAATTTTGGACATGATCACAATAAAAACTTTTGTGTTTCAAAGGACATCATTAAGAAAGTAAAAACCCATAGGATGGGAGAAAATTTTTACAAATCATGTATCTGATAAAGGACCTGTATCTAGAATATACAAAGAACTCATACAACTCAATAATAAAAAGGCAAATAACCCAATTTAGAATGGGCAAAAGATCTGGATAGACATTTCTCCAAAGAAGACATACAAATGGCCAATAAGCGCATGAAAAAAAATACTCAACATCATTAGCCATCAATAAAATGCAAATCAAAACCACAATGAGATACCACTTCACACCCACTAGGATGCTATAATAAAAAAGACAAATAATAGCAAGTATTGGTAAGGATGTGGAGAAATTGGAAGCCTCATACACTGTTGATTGGAATGTAAAATGGTGCAGCTGCTTTGGAAAACACTCTGGAATTACTGAAAGAGTTAAACATACAGTTACTGTATGACCCAGCAATTCCTATGCATATGCCCAGGAGAAATGAAAACATATGTGTACACAAAAATGTGTACACATATGTTTATAGCAGCATTACTCATAATAGTCAAAAAGTAGAAACAACTCAAATATCCATCACATGATGAATGGATAAACAAGAGGTGGTGTGTCTACAGAATGAACTATTACTCAGAAATGAAAAAGACTGAAGTACTGATATTTGTTCACCATGGATGGCCGCAGAGAACATTATGCCAAGTCCAAGAAGGCAGTCATAAAAGACCACACATATTGTATGATCCCATATATATGAAATGTCCAAAATAAGTAAATCTGTATAAAAAAATAAATTCATGTCTGCCTAGGATTAGGGGAGTTGAGGGCAAAGTGGGAGAGTAATTGCTAAAGGGCACAGGGTTTCTTTGGGGGTAATGAAAATGTTCTAAAATTGATCATGACCATTCTGTGAATTTACTAAAACTCACTGAATTGTACAATAGAACTGGGTAAACTGTATGGTATGTAAATTGTAGCTCCATAAAGCTCTCATCGGCTCCTCCTTTCCCTCCAAAAAAGGAAAAGGAATCAGGAGCCTGTCTTTCTCTGTAGGAATGCCACACCTGTTGTCCCAATGTAAGTATGAAAAGAGCCTGTTCACTCTCAAAAGTGCCCTGGTTTGTATAATAAATTCGTGTTATTACCCTATCACTATGCGTTATCAGGGAAGTGGCTTTGCCCCTCAGGGCTTCAGTTTCCCAAACGGAAAAACAAGGTCTACCCAGTTCTGGACATCTCTGACCCTGGCGCTCGACTCCCCAAAGGCTCCACTTTAAAAGCAACAGCATCCTGCTCAGTTGGTCACAGGGTTGAGTTGGTCACCCACCATGCTTCGGAAGATGAACCTAAATTAGCAGAGAATTGAAACCCTGGGCCAGCATAGATCACTGAGTTCTGGGAAACACAGGCAAGAAAGGCTGTGAGTAATTCCTGAATCTACCAGTTACTGATATTCAAATTCCCTCATATTTAGGCCACTAGGAAAGGTGATCCAATCATGCCAATGCGGGCAAAATGCTCTAACCACACCCCCTACAGAGGAAAAAAGATGAACACTTAAATGGGGGCCCTCACAGAAAACACAGTATCTTAGGAAACCTGGCAGATTTGGCAGTGGTTAACCAAGGTCTTCTTTAAATGGGATTTGGTGAGCCCATCCAAGAGGGCCAGGTATGACAGTCAAGGTCATCTGATCATACAGTGTAACGGTCATTTCCTGGTCCTCCTTACCCATGACTGCTAGGAAATACAATTATACCAAAGGAGCTCAAAAGGAATCATTTTGTTCTCATCCCTTTTATACTCATGAGAATGTGCCAAAAATGAGTCTTTCTGTCCTCCTCCTCTCTCTCCCAAGGGCCTTGGAACAGGTCTGTGTGGCGGGTCCTACACACACATTGTGGTGTCCACCACACCAATGCATTAAGATGATCCCATTTTCAGGCTTTGCAGTAGCAGATCCTTAGAAACAAAGTAAAGGTGAAGGAAGCTGAAGACACAGAATAAACACCACCCCCATCAACCTGAGAACAGAACAGACAGATGCTCATCAGCGGGGTCATCGGGAAGGGGAACCAACACAAAGACAGGAGATGGTGGCAAATCACCCCTATCTAGTCAGTAGTCGTGGTCACGAAGCCAGTTACCAGAGAAGGTGAAGGTTTGGGGTAAGGCAGAGCTTTGTCTGAGGTGGGAGAGTGGTCAGAAGGAACCAATACAGGTGGCACCAGGATACCTGTGAACTAGCCTCCAACTAAGGGAGAAGGGAGTATCAGAGAATATGTCCCCACTGTTTGCCCCTTTAGAATGGCATGGCTGGGGAAAAGACCAAGGAATCACTCAAAAACGGGAGGCTGAGAGGAAGGAAGGGAGGAGCCAGTGGCTTTCTGCATCCGTGGGTTTCTGCTGGTTGTTGGTGTGTGGTTTTCATAGCGGAAGGGCATTCCTCGCCGCAGCTTGCTGGGGAGGTTCCAGCTCACAGCAGTGCAATTTCTACATCCAAGGGTCTGGGAGGTGGAGGCGGCGGTTCACTCTACTTCTGCTCAGAGGCCACATTTCAGGATGATGTGGTAGCCATCGCTGCTCTCGGCTGCAAGAGAGAAACACTGGGCATGTTCCAGGAAGAAGGGCATGGTGCCACAGCATTGGGAGTCACAGAAGGCCTGGTAGGAGGGTACCACAGAAGCCCTGCCATGAATACTGGCAGCGACCACCAAAATAAGGCTGCGCTGAGCCAGAATGCCAACAAAAGCAGAGATGTCAACACATGCTTTTGCATCTGCCTTGTGGAGTTTCTTTCTGACAACAGCCCTTTCCACCACAGCCCTGGGCCCAAGGACTAAAGGACCTACGCCCAAGGAGGATCTGGACACGGCCCCATCACAGTGTGGGGTCTGTCAGAGGGTGTTCACTCTGACAGACTCCGTACGCTCACCTGCCTGGCCCTAAGGAAGGTCTCCACCGACCTCTCCTTTCTCCTGGCCCATGAGTTCTTTCTCAGACTCCTTCAGGAGGGCCCTTGGAGTCCCACCCCCACACATCCCCTTCCCAGGTCCCCAGTCCACTAGGCCTGCAGACTCGGCTGCTGTATTCCATGCCTGCTCTTCCTGGAGACCCACATTTTAGTAAAACTCAAATGCATCATACGTCTACTTGGCACTGAGTTCATGGAGAATACAGTCCGGCCAGGATTTCTGTTTCAGAAGTGACGTTGGGGCCAATCTAATTCTCACATTCCAGGGCTAAGTTTCACAGGAAGTTTGTGTTTCTCTTTTCCAGGGGATGTTCCCAGGTAACATTCTCGAGAGGGAACACCATACAAGTAGGCCCCACTCCCCTCACTACGTTATCCTGGGGGGGCGCAGCCAACATACTTCAATTAAACAAGAAAGAGGGAGAGGGCTTTACCTTTTAAGGTACTGAGGGTAAAACAGGATTCATCTTGGAAATTCTGCACCATCTGAAAGGCAAAAGAGAGACCATGTCCTTTCAACAATCAGTTCGTAATAAGAAAAGGCTCAGCGACACAGAGCCAGCCACTCGCAGCCGCCAGAAGTGAGTCCATGTTTACACAAATGCAGGAAAACGATGAAGCTTAACTTTCACTGAGAAAATGTGTGATACAAAATAAACGTACAAAATGACTACAATTTTAAGTAACAAAAACTAAATGTAAACGACGAAAAGAAGCCTAGAAAGGAATCAAGATGTTAACATTTAATATGGGACTAAATTTATGTTTGCTTTTTCCTAGTATCTGGGTCTTCCAGATCCCATGACAGACACATAACAGGAGCGTGTATGTGTATAGTAGCAACAGATAAAAAAGTAAAGTGCTTATAAAAAACTGGGTAATTAGTAGGCTCTGCCTATCAAAGTCCTAGGAGGACCAAATACAAAAAGAGTATCACTCCCTGCATCTACAAATATGGCAGGAATCAGGATTACTCGTCAGCCACCTCTCTGGAGTTCCCATTTTGATTAAGTACTCAGTGACCTTGGACAAGTCAACCTGTTTTCTCCCTGTCTCCATGCCCTATCTGTAAAATGGGACTGTTTCGATAATTAAAAATATAACCTGGATGTAGAGCAATGCTACTAGTGGGGCGGGAAGCTGTATAATCACTTTACAGAACTGTCCATGGGTCCTGTAAACGTCCAGGTCCATCTGTTGCATAGGCAGATACCCTCGATAAACACCTACACATGCCCACACAAAGCATACCTAAAAATGTCTAGAGCAGCACTGTCTGTAAGACTGAAAACCAGCAACAGCCCCCATGTCAATCAATAGTAGGAGCATGAACAAACTGTAACCTAACCACACTTTGCTTTCAGCAGTGCCAACGACCTCCAGCGGCACACCTCAACATGCGTAAATCTCAAAAATATCACATGGAACAAAAGAAAAAAGTAACAGAAGAGTACACTATTGTTCCACTTACACGAAGTTTTAAAATAGGCAAAACTAACCAATATATTAAGGAGGAACTAAAGTATGAATAATACAAAATTCAGACCAGCAGGTGGAGAGGGGAGGGTGGAATATGAAATTAGCCTGCAAAGGGGCTTCTAACGTAACACTGTATTAACCTGAGTGCAGATATTGGGTACTTTAAATAGTCTTTAAACTGTACAAATAAGTTTTACATACTCTCCGCATATGTATGTTGTATTTCACAATATAAATGGAAAGAATAAAAATACAAACATATAAACATACACACCACACACACACACACACACACACATACACACACACACTCACTCACACACACTAGCCAACATGACAGCAAAACCCGTTTCCAATTTTTGAAAAAATGCACCACACATTTTATTGCCTGCTCTGGGTTATTGTCCCAAATCCTGCAAATCCATCCCCCTGTGGACCCCTGTCCCCCCCTGCAGGACCTAATGATGCGTGAAGTACATTTATCCTATACTGCTGGCCTGCTCCCTCTAGACTCTTGGCAGCCCAGCCACTTGGGCATGCAAAGCCCTAAGCAGAGCCCACACGGGCTTAATCAGTAACTCCCTTGTTTAATTAAGTGCCCTTGTACCCCAGGGGCCGCTCCGCGGCTGGCCGGGCTGCCTCCAGTGCTCCGGGCAATTAAGACCCAAAGGTTTCCAATCGATTTGGGGTTAAGAGGCAAGGAGACTACAGGGAATAAGAATCGCCTACTTAGCTGAGGTGGCATTTGAGTTCTGTTCTCTGCTTCACTTGCTTAACTGCCTACTCTGGAGGGCACAGGGCAAGCTGGGGAAGGAACTTCCTTCAGGGACCCATGAAATTGCAAGGGTTCCACACATTCTTGGCTTTTGTCTTCATAGAAGAAAGTCATTCTGAATTGCAAAGTGACAAGTTTTCCATGCCATAACAACAACCCACTGCTCAGGGCGGTTTTACCTTCCTGGCTACTCTAAAGTAAGTTCTCAGGTCTGGAGCTCTGGGCTTGATTTTCTTTATCTGTGAAATGGGGCTAAAATAAAAAAGCTGCATTAGACTTGAACATAATGATATGGAAAGAATTCTGAACCGGTGACAAAAATAGCAAGTTGCAATAAATGTACAGCTGGATCTCTGTTGTGTGTTTATTAGTTTCAGGTGTACAAAACAATGTAATAATTAGACATGTATATCCCTCTCTGTTGTGTGTTTTAAAAAGCTGCACCCACACACACTCAGGCACACAACGGACACGTGTACAAAAATTTACCTGGCAGAACCTCATCAAACTTAATATAAACTCTTGCAAGAAAAGAGAGTGGGGAAGACAAGGGCCTTTTACAATTTGCCTTCTGCTGTTCTACACTGCTTGACTTCTTGCTCTAACTGTGAATTACTTCTTAATTTAACAGGAAGGGAAATACCAGCTTTCCCACCTCCCGGATGAACCGTCCACGAACTGGAAAACCTCATTTAAGGGGCTCCGGCATTTGTAATGAGACGGGGCAATAGAATTATTACTAATAATGACAAATTATGAAATAAGCATACCATTAAAAGCCTTACATTTTATACATTGCCAAATTTAAAGATCTATCACTTGCTCCCAAAAATAACAAGTGCCTAGCACTGTCAATTGTAACATCAGCTGCTTATTTAGCATCTCCTGGTACCTAACACCATTTTCTCATTTTACCCTTACTACAACTTGCTCGATGGGTATAATTATCCACGTTTTGCAGATGTGGAAACTGAGGCTCAAAGAGGTTAAGTAAATTTGCTCAAGGTAGCTCAGCTACTACGAGTCAGTTCCAGGTAGGAACACACCAGTCCAATTCTCAAACCCACATTTTCTCTACTTCCCCAGCCACCATTCCTGTACCATTTCCTTTATAATCCTCCACACAGAGGCTTTCAGAGTTCCCACAATGGGCTTAGGGTCTGCTGGGGGCTGAGCAGAGGGCTCCCATCAGCCCAGCTGTTTATTTTAAAGGCTTCATTTCAGGAGAGGTTGGACAGCCTGCTAGCTCAGAGCTTGGGCTCTGCATCTGGATGACCAGGGTTCCCACCAGAGCTCCACCCTTTACCAGCTGTGTGACCTGGTCAGCCTCACTTAGTCTCTCTGTGCCTCAGTTTCCTACCTGTGAGGTTGGATGTTCATAGCCCCCACCTCATGGGAGGCTGTCAGGATAAACTGAGTCACTATGTGTGCACTCAGAGCAGTAGTGCAGACATAGTAAGCACTCAGTAAATGTTCACACTCCTTACTATTATTATTAGGAGGACAGGTCCAGGACAGAACAAGCCTCTGTTCTACAACTTGCAGGAATGCCTCAATGTGTCGGCAAACCTATTAATATCCCCCTCCATAGCCATGAGTGGGACCAGCTCCAGCAGGCCCCTGCTCACTATCTGTGCCCTCGGCCAGTGGCCGCTTGTGCCCTGCACAGGTCTTGGGTGGCAGTGACAAGCTCAGGAAGGCTATGGCACCTTCGCCATTCAGCAGAGAAGGCCTGTTCTCTCTGGGGAGCCAATCCTCTCCAGCGCCCAACCTCGGGTCCATTTCACTCCTCCCTGGGCCTGCTGCCTGCCCTGGGCAAGCACCCTCTCCTGACTCCTTCCAACCCTCACCATAAGCACCCTGAGTGCAGAGGTGCAGTGTGTGCTCCTGGTTCCTGCAGGGCACCTGGCCGAGGATGGCGTATGGAGTGGACACTCAATAGCTATTCAGAGCCCAGTCCTGGCCTCAGCACTCTCTCCAGGCAGCCGCTGTAGCTGAGAGAAGACGGCTTTCAGATGAAACCTGTTTGCCACCGTTAGGCTAGTCATCCCCGAACCCACAGGGAGCATCTGTGGTGCAGCTGCTGCTGCCCCGCCCAGGAGCCCAACACCCCGGCTCACCTCGTTGCTGACCACCACGTGGATGCCCGTGGGCCCCTGCCGGTAGACTCGGTGGATGTGCTGCGGGGAGATGCTATACAGGCTGGCGATTTTCTCAATCAGCTCCAAGGTGGTCAGCTCTTCCAAGAAGATGGCGTGGTACACTGGGGAAGGAACAGGTCCTTCTAGAGCACAAGCGCCTGCTTTGTATGAAGCCTGCCCATCCCCCACCCCCACCGCGAGAAATCAGTAACTTGCTGGTAAGGATGTTCATGCCCAGACTGATCCCTTGGGGTCTGGCTGTGATGGAGATGTCTAGAAGCCATGGCCTCTGTGCAACCCCTCAACAGGTGAAAAGATGCCAGGCTGTGGTTTTTTTTCCGGTTTCAGTCTCTCTGGGGGGACTTACATAAAAAGTAGTCTTGCTTGATCCATCCAGACCCAGTGACACCCACTTAGGGGTAGAAGCTGGAGGGAGAATGGCTGGCAGAAATCTGTATTTCTAACAAGATTCCAGTGAGGTGCTGCCAGACGTGCACTTCACTGCAGGAGGGAGGAGGAAACCCTGTGTCCCCTTTCCTTCCTTTCTACTTTTTAAAGGAATTATTGGGTGGTTTCAGGGGACAAAGAGTGCGATTTAAAGGTAATTGCTACTTGACAGCAGAAGAGAGAGGGTCTAGTCCCTGCCCTTTTCCAGAGCACAAATTGTAGTCTGCTCAAGCACTGTGACCCCAAAGGGAGAAGGGGAGCACTAGGCTGTCATCAGCCTGTCAGAAGATAACAATGTCCCCGAGGTTGGAAACGCTTCCGTATACCAAACCCAAACTAGCCAGGGAGGAGCAAACTCCACGGACCTGAGTGGGTTACTCTATGTTCTGGGCCTCAAGTTCCTCAAAGCTAAAATAGAGCTGGGTTAAATTACAGGTTCCCTAACTCTTCCCTCAACTAAGAAAAATTTCACCCCCAAAAATCTGATCAGAGGCCCAACTTTAAAAGCGTGCGTCTGTAGACACACACACACAGTGGCTCCCGCTGCAGCGGGTGGCAGAGGCCACAGGGTTCCAGCCACGTAACAGCCAGGATCGCCTTCCCATGATTTCTAACAGGCTGACCCACTGTTAGATTTTGTTCAGGACAATACCAGGCCACTCTCCTAAGATTCCTTTTTATAACAGAATTCTCATTGTACTTTTTATCCCCCAACTCTTTAGACAGCCTGTTCCCCTTTTTCTACCTTCACTCCTCAAACAAATCAGACTGCTGGCACAAAAGAACTAGAAGGATTATGGGCTGGCACCTTTCGTTGTAACCTTTTGTCCCTGGCCTTTCCCTGCCCCCAGATAAGCATGGCCACCAAGAGTGCTTGGAGCTAGAAGGGTGGACCGGCCACTCCTTTAACTCTGCTCATCAGGGGCCATAGGGGGGCAGTTTGGGGAAACAAGAGGGTCTAGATCAGGCAATCCTGGGTTCAAATCCTGACTCTGCACTCACTGGAAGCAAGACCCCGTGTCTCCACAGCTCCCGGAGCCTGGGTTGGGCACTGCCAGCACCCACATGGCAGGGCCACCACAAGGTTAAATCACGCACTGTGCATGGAGCACCTGCCCTGAGCAAATGCGTACATTCAGCGGCCCTTTCCACGTTGTGTGGGAAACCAGGGCACCTGGGGTCTGTGCTTCACTGGCTAACAGCTGAAAAGCTGGAGCAGACCTGGACCTCCACCCGAAATGTACAGAAGCCAGACTGAGGGCTCAGAAGCCCGCTGCCTAAGTCCAAATGTTTGGATCCTGGTTCGGCCACTTATGACACTGTCATCTTGGACCAGTCAACTGCTCTGTACCTCAGTTTTCCCCACAGTGAAACAATATTAGCAGCACTTCCTACTATGAGAAGCAAATAAGTGTGTGAAAAGCCCTTAGACAGGGACTTGTTGAGCATTCTTGCTGATGTGGAGGGACCTGCAGAGAGGCAGACAGGGTGTTCCCTCTGCAGATGGCACACAGAGCACTGGCTGCGCAGGTCAAGGTGGGCAGCTCGCCAATCTCTCAGCACTCACGAGTGCTCAGAAGTAAGCAGCTCCATATGCGTGTCTGACTGAAACCTCCCACCTCTACGGGGTAGGTGCTGCTATCTTCATTTTACACACGAGGAAGCTGACGCACAGGCCCTGGTACCCTGCCCAAGGCCACAGGGCCACTAGGTGCTATGGTCAGCACTGGTATTCAAGGACAGCTGACCTCAAAGCTGTGTCCTCTCTCCTCAAACTGCCCCAAGAACTGCAAACCCAAAGAAGTCCCATGCCCCGGAGGTACTCCAGGACCCCTCAGCTGAGCTCCTCAGCCCTGTGCAGCAACTCACCCAAATGACAGACTCATCCGGCCATGAACTATCACAGGAGATAGCGCTCCTGGGATTACAAACATCAAGTGCCACTTGTCACCTGCCTGGGCGCCAGAAGGCCCAACTTCCAATTTCACCACGAGTAGCTCAGTGGCTTTTTGGAGGACACATCCCCTCTCTGGGCCTGTTTCCCTGGGTGTAAAATAAGTAAATTGGACCAAATATCCTGGGGGATCCCTTCCACCTTAAACATTTCAATCCCAGGATGAAGTTTAGCAAAAACATATCCTGCAAGAAACTGGAGTGAGGCAGATCAGGGGAAACGTCCTCAGTCAGACTTGGGTTGTTTCTTCCATTCCTTTGCCGCCCCTGTGACTGGGCTGGTGGGGAGGGCCCGGCACGACTCACCACACAGACCGTTGTCCCCACTGCCATCCCGCTTCTGCTGCAGAGGCACCCGGTTCTGCTCCAGCTCCTGACAGACATAAATGGTCATCTTTGGCCTCACATTCCTGGCAGGAGGAGAAAATATAAATAGCAGGTATGGGGGACAAAGATCTGGTGTTCAAGGATGTTCCTGAACACGGGGTAGATACAGTAACGGGAAGGACTAGGAGGGGAAAAAAAGAAGGTTGTGATGATGCACAGTGCCTTTCATGGTGGCGGCAGGAGCAAAATTCCAGCCAGGCCAAGAGGGGGCCCTGCCCAGAACACGAATCTCAAGACATGATGCACTTTTCAGGGTGATACAAGCAAATACTTTTTCTGATTTACTCTGCACCAGGCACCATTCTCAGAACGTCACACCCATCACTTGTTTCATCCTCACACCACCTATGAGGGAGGGAGGACCATCACCCTTATTCTACTGATGAGGAAACAGGTTCATGGGGTGAAGGGCTTTCGCCCAGTTGCAAAGCTCCTAAGAGGCAAATCTGGGACTCAAACCCAGGCCCTTTCTCTTACTCTAAAACTGTGCTGTCCGTGTGTTATTAGAATCTAAATTCATTAAAATTAATTAAAGTTTAAAACTCAGTTTGTCAGTCACAGTAGCCTCAGATGAAGTGCTCCAGCGGCCGCATGTAGCAGGGTTACTGGACTGAGCAGCACCCCACAGAACATTTCCACGGTGGCAGGAAGTTACATTAGACACACCACTGTTCTACAGTCGTCCTGAAACCTACTAATGAGGCTGAGCAGCCTCACTAGCCTATGGTTCCCTACAGGTAGCTTGAAGCCCAGGACCGTGCAAGTGTCTGGCAACCTGGAGAAGTGGCTAAGGGGCCGAGGGAGGGGCCTTCAGGCAGGCATGCTGCAGGCGGCTGCATCGCAGTCTCAGCATGTCACTCACCTGCTAGAGCCGGGCCCACGCCTCTCTCACCGCGAGTCCTGCACCCCAGCGGAGACCCTGTCAGCTTCCCACCACACCCTGCCTCCACTGGAAACTGATACCCACCTGCCTTTGATGGCGTTGAAGAGCCGGATCCCATCTGCAGGGCCACAGATCTGGACCAAATCATCTCGAGACATCTTTAGCAAGTCAGCACCTGGACAGGTAGATAAGCAGGGCTGCCTGTTATATGAGACATCAAGAAAAGGCTCCATGCCCGAGCACTGCAGACCCTGCACTGGGGACTGGGGGTCAGGGACAGGGGACAGGGAAGAGCTAGCCTCACCTTCAGTGGGCAGCAGACATCCCATGGAGAGAGAAGCAGCAAAGAGCCAAACAACATCAGATCACAGCCCGAGAAATGTCAGAAGCTAAACGACGGGCATTCACGAAACTCAGCACAACAGACAGGCGTTTACAGAAGCCTGTGCCTGCCCGCACCTTCCTCTGCACTTTTTATTGGCAGAGGGTGTATGCACATATCTCTTATGGATGTGTGGCATTGATTTCATGTGCACTTGTCTGTATACAGGCTACACAGCTCGCTGGATGCAGCCGTCCTAAGTGCACCTGTGCACCTAGCACACAGATCAAGAGGCAGAGCATTCCCAGCATCCCTCAGGCCCCTGGCACCAGCCACGCCCCCAGCTCTGGGGAACCACTGTTCTGACTTCTTACAGTATAGATGAGTTTTGCTTGTTTTTTGAATTTTATGTAAATGGAGTTGAACAGTACATACTCTTCTTCTATGTCTGGCTCCCTCCCCCCAAGTTCTGTTTAAGGGCTTATTCCTATTGTATGGAGTTATAGACTGTTCATGCCCATTATTAGGTATTATTCACTGCACGAATATACCACAGTTCATTTATCCACTCTGCTGAAGGGCATCAGGGTGCTCCCAGTTTGGGACTATGATGAATAAGTCTCTATGAACATCCTCGTACATGGGTGCAGTCCCTTCCTCAAAGACCAGGGAGTCCCTTAGAGGCTTGTGACCATGTGGAGTCTTCTAAAGGTACAAGGATGATGTCAGCCTTCTGCTGAAAACTTGCCAATAGCCACCTGGCCTTGAGTCAAAATTTTTCCATCCCTTCTTTCCTACCACAGTTAATACATTGTTTTAGGTACAATTCTGTAGGCACAGAATTTTCCCTTCAAGTAAAAGCTGAAGTCCTTCCACCTTCCCACCAGGGCCCCTCAGTGCCTCTCTGACCTCCCCTCCTCCCCCGGTCCACTCAACCCCAATGCCCTGGGTCCTCTGCTCCATGGCCACACCTGGCAGGCGCCCACCTTGCAGCCTCTGCACTTTCCCTCTGCTTGGAAAGCCAATACTCCCACCCCCACCGCCAGTACCCACTTGCCTTGTCCCCTTGCCTGGTTCCAGCCTCTGCTCACGGCACCTTCTCAGTAAGGCCCACATTGACTACCCTACTTGAGATGATGGCCAGCCCTCCCGTCGCCTCCCCTGTCCAGGACAGGTCCGGTCCCTCCTCTGAGCCCGCCCATCACACTATATTGAAATGGGTGGCTCCTGTGTCTGCGCTGACTCAAAGCTGCAAGCTCCCAGAGGACAGGGTCCCTGTCTGGCCCTCCCTGTCCTTTCCAGCCCTAACACACAGGAAGTTTTCAGAACAGCTGTGCTGAAAGAGGTCTAGGTGCTCTCTGCCCACTATCACAGAGGTCCTTGAGAGCCACTTTTCTAGTTTTGGTCAAATCTTTACCCCATGTTGCTCTGGATTGACTCTACTTGGTGGCAAGGTTTACCTTTGTACCTCACAGCCCCTGCCTCAGGCTTCTGCCTGTCGGACCCATCAGTGAGGGCTTCAAAAACCTTTTAAAGAAGGAAGAACCAGCTTTCCCTCTCACCTGTGGCTTCACTTCCCTCTTCCAAGCCATGGCTCTGGAGACAACGTGACGGACAGCATTTAGGTAGGACAAGTGCCAGGGAGGCTTGCTGAGTATGTGCTGGCCCACTTGGCTAAGAGGCCCTACCTGGGCATACAGGAGCCCACCCGGAAGTGAGGGCATCTTGATGAAGGGCCTCCCTTCAAGCCGCACTCAACTGGAAATGTCTAGGGGCAGGACCTCTACTCGTAGCACTTGGCCCAGGTCAGCAAGTGTGAGTAAGTGACCCACACCATTCCGGGTGCCCAGGACAAACCACAGCCCCAGGCCCTGAGGCCAAATGCTGGAAGGTAACCGGCCTTGCTCAGTGTTTCCAAGGTCCCTGTGGGTTATAAACACAACCTAGAGGCGCTCACCTGAGAAGCTGGAGAACAGCCGGCAGAACTGCGAGAACCTGTTGCGGTGAAGCCACTGCTGGGCGTCCTGGATCGAGGCTGACGGGAGCAGGTGCTGCAGGCAGAGAGAGGAGGCCATGAAATGGCAACTCAGGGTCTGCACAGAGAGAGGCAGCCAGGGAGCCCCACACTTACATCACTGCTCACGGTCAGGGCCTCTGCCAGGTGGGGATGGGTTGGCGAGCTGTTGCTGCAAAGGAAGAGGGCAAGGTGGTTAGAGCGAGTGCGTTCTGGGCTGGGGAAGGTCTCCTCACCTGCCTGCCACTTCTCCTTCCCTCAGCTCTGGGGCTTGTTTTAAATGAGAATTTCCCGAGTCACAGGAATGAGGGCCGGAGCCACCACCCAATCCCTCCAAATCCCTAGTTAACTCTTCGGTGTGGACAGGAAGTTCTCCCAGCCAGTGTGACCCCTCTACCCAGGGTTCTGGGTTTGTTTTGGTCAGAATTCCCTCCTACTCAGAGCTCCCAGCCCAGCCTCAGCCTGAGGGAGGGGCATTGGGCCAGGGAGACCCCGGCAGTGCCCACAGTGACTCAGAGATGGACAGAAGTAGCCACAGAAGCAGCTGAACCCTTTTCTCCGTGGCAACAGGAAAGGGCAGTGGTAGCCCTCAGGGAATTACTGTGCAGCGAGCAAGCACCCAGTTTGGCACCCTCCATGAGAAAAACATTCTCATGGTTTTTCCCCACAGGGAGGCCCGCCCCGCCAACCTTCCTCAAGGGCTCCCTCATTGGGAGGTACAGACTCGAGCACCTAGGTTTTTAAGTTGAGAGAAAGATACATTTAAAGATGACCTTCCCACATGGAGAGAGGTGATGCTACAATATGAACATACTTCGTGTGCCTGAACTATACACTTAAAAATGTTACAGTAGTAAATTTTACTTTATGCATAGTTTACCACAATTAGAAAAAAAATAAAAAGACCCTCACGGGGATGATCCTTAGACCAGTCGTCAGTAACTACGGCTGCGCTTCAAGTGCCTGCGGAGCTCTGGGTATTTCACATATGTCCCCTGACCCTGCGTGGAATTCTTACCCCCTTTACAGTGGCAAGACCGAGGCGAAAGGTAGTTAAGGAACTTACACCTCAGAAAGGTGCAGATCTAAAACTGGGTCTGCCTGAATCTAAATATAATGTGACACCTCTTCTGTCTCCCCGCCTTAGGAAGGACTCGCCTCACCTTGGAAATCAAGAGCACGTCTTGCTTTCCCGTTAGCAAAGTTCTCGGCCTGCCAAGCTGGGCTTTGAGGAACCTGCACACTAACCTGTTAAACCCACCTGGCGTTCTCCCTGCCTCCTCCGCCCCCAGGAGCGGGATGTGCAGACCTGCCATGGTAACGTGGTGGGCCCTGTGCCATTCAGCCTGGAACCGGCTGGACAGCTGCCCGCCAGCCCCTGCACTACTGTCACCTTGCTGTCAGCACAACCTATGCATTTGCAGGGCTAGGTAACCTGCGGTGAGGCTGCTTCTGTGTTACCAGGGACGTGGGCATCCTGACTTGACCTGACCTGACCCACACTATCCAGTGAATGTGCACAAAGATCCAAGAAGGACCTCACAGCCCTGTGGCCACCCACACATTTGCTTGCCAAGGCCCTATCTGTCTAGGAGGCATGGCTTTCTTCCAGAGGTGCCTGGCAGGCCCTCTCACGACACTGACCCACGGCCCCGCTGACCAGCCCTACCTTTACTGGAGGGAAAGGTGGGTTCTGAGTTGCTGCCCTACCAGACATTCATATGAAGTGTGTTTAAGCACAAAAACCTGTACAAATGCTAAAAACGGTGTGAATGCAACACCAGTTAGCCACCCTGAAACCCCAATTGATGCCAGGCTGCAAAAGGAGAGAAGACACAGAGAAGAAGACCAGAAAAGGAGCCCATACCCATCATCATCCCAGAGAGTGCAAAGGGAGAAAAGTCACATACCCTTCGCCGAGGCCGAAGCTGTTTGGAGAGCCGTTGTAGCTTGGGGATGGGGCGCTGTTCACCTGGTAGGGCACATCAGGCCATGGAGAGCACTGCGGGAATAGAGCACAGGGCAGCAGTGACCTGACCGCAGTGGACTCCAGAGAATCTGGGTCTGGCAAAGTGCTGACCCCAGGCACGTTGGGCCCTCCCATGCAAGATCCACTAAAGTCAATGCGTGCAAGTGCCCCTTCAACACGCAATTTGCATTTATCAGGTGCCCACATGAGCCAGGACAGGTGAGTTACTAGGGCACACCAAAGAATCAAATATAGCAGCAGAGACCTAGTGCTCAGTAGGTCATCTGGGAGTAAGCAAAGCATTATATGTGTCTCTGTGAGCTTCCTGGTCGTCACACCAAAGAGGGAAACATCCTCTGACACATGATTCCTGGGCCCCCAGGAAAAGAGAGAGAAAAACAAAACAGGCCAGCTGCCTGCAAGCAGCTTTTCCTGGTGCAGACAAATGGGTACAAATGCATGAAATAGGGTGCACTGGATGGACCACAGACAACTCCCAAACAAAAAATCATCAGTGAAGTTCAGTATTAAAACTTGCGTTATTTGAAAACTGAATGTGCAGAGGGTCCTCAGTGCACAGGAGAGGCACCTTCACGTTGACCAAGAGCAGCTGCCCTTCAGCACAACCCTCTGAGTATTTATTACACTGCAGGCACCCTGCTAGGAGCTAAGGGACACAGAGAAACACAGAGATGTGATGATCCACAACCTCAAGGAACTTCTTGTGCAGAAGCCAAAAATGAACATATGTGAGTGTCCTAAAGGAACCAAAGACACACAGGTTTGGCCTGTTGGGGAATGCCAGTGCACAAAGTATTCATTTCCTCCCTTCCCTGTGATGACACATCTCTGGAGAGGGCCAATTTGAAGCATTCCTAAAGATCTGCTGTCACCCGTGGAAGAACCACAGGGTTGGTAAACATTTACCTGTGGTATGACGGTGGGCTGGAATTTGTTGGTGTAAATGCTAAGGGAGGAAAGCTGACAAGCTGATAAAGGGGAACCGTCACTTCCCAAGGTCACGGGCCAGGTGGGGATTCCGACCGACCACACCACACTGTGGCAAGGACTTGGATGGCTGTGGCATAACGCACATAGACCTCTCCTCCACCAAGGCAGTCACAGGAGAGGCAGGGGTGGAAAGGAAGAGACGGGCCTGGAGGACAGTGGGGGCAGCGTCACCAGCACAGGCAGAAACGAGGCTTGGGAAAAACGCGCTGGTCTGAGCTCTAATCCACACAGCACAGTGCGGGCACTGCTTTGCTGCCGAGGTGGGGGTGGGGGCAGGGTTCTTCATGCACCTGTGCTCTCTGGCCACTGTTATCCTCAAATAAACTCCAGTGCACATCTGTCCAGGCTGCAAAATTAGCTTCCATACTGTCTTATTGCAAACACCCTTCTGCATATGTGTGTGTGCACACGCACACACAGCACATCAGCCAGGACCAGGCCACTGTCTTCTTAGATGCTCTGTGCTTGGGCCTCACTCTTCACACAGCCTTAACCCCACCATGGACACTGCTGGGCCTCACGCATCTGTGGAGGGCCTTCTGAGCAAGTTAAGTTATTCAGTGAACACACACCAAAATCTATGAGTTGGCTGATTGCAGAACACAGAGGGAATAGTTGGTTTTTTTAAAAAAAACAAACAGAGCTTGGTTAAAAAAAGGCGGCACTAGCAGTGACCTGTGATGGAAGCATCTCAGAAGCACCCTGGACAGAAGGATGGATGGACCAGGCTGGCGTTGGCATCAGGGTTAAGAGAACATGCCTTCCAATATCTATCCAAACAACAAAATAGCAAGTGCTCACACCATGTGACCCAGAGCTCCCACTCCAAGAATGGAGGCGTGCAGACCTTCTTTCCATGTGCAGAACGTCTCCGGCACAAGGTTCTTCACGGCACCCCTTCTGAAAAGGTGAGAGCCTGGAAACAACCAAATGTCCAGCCACAGGCCATCCACCAGAGAAGGGGATGCAGCTGGATAAATAACTACAAAGCTCTTTATGAGCAGTTAAGGCAGAGACGGCAACATATACTACTAAATAAAGAAAGCAAGCTGCAGAACAGTACATCTATGTACACTATTGGTGTAAAAAAAAATGAGTATGAACTGGCTTCATTTGCAGAGAAAGTTGGGCTAGATACAGGAGAAACCAGAGATGCTGGGACGAGAGGCTGGGACAGTGTTGGGAGAGATATTTTCTGATGTACACTCTTCCACCTTTTGAATTTTAGACCTCTGACCTGTTTTAAAAATGAATGCCCTGATTTTGAAAAGTGCAAATGGCAGCAGAGAGCTAGAAGTTATTTCTGAAACACGTTTCTGGCCAGTGGGCCCTATCAGATGAACACAGCTCCAGACCTGGGAACACACCACAATTTAATGGGTGCTCTCAAAAGAAGCACTCACCCAAGGTGGGCAATTTCCCAAGAATCTAACCACACAGCGCCACTGGCCCACTCCTGGCAGAAGGCCCTGGGAGGCTCACCTCAGTGAGAATGGTGGTTTCATAGGATGGCTGGTACTTCTCCTTCTCTTGGGCGGTTCTCTTCTCCATCTTCTCCCGGTCCGTCTTTTGTTTCCGGTCAGCTCCCTTTGGCTACAAATGCAGAGCACAGAGGTCCAATTAGTCCAAAGTAGGCAGAGGCGGCTATTGGTGGAAGATCAGGGCTGAGCGGTGGCCCCCAAAGCCTGCACACTCCAGCCTCCCCTGAGGCACAGAAGGCCAGGCAGGATCTCACAGACAAGACAGCATCTCTCTCACTTTGTAGGCATCAAACACATGGTCTTCCTGCCTGGAACCCTTCCCCCTCTGAGGGAACGCAGAGCCTGCTACAGGGTCCTGCAACCAGACTGCTCACAGGGCATTGCCTGGAAAAGATGATCTTTACCAATGGCCACTTGCTTATAGGAGCCACAACAACTCCTAATGCACTCGTCAGGTTACCAATGGAGAGCAGAGGAAGTGAAGAAGCCAGGGGCTGCTGGCCAGGGTTTGGCCGAAGCCTGCAGGCTGTGCGATTCTGGATACCCCAGGAAGGCTTCCACGCCCCCAACTCCCAGGACGCCTGCTGCTCCCAGTTCACACTCCGTATGCAAGGTGAGGTCTCCACCCTGACTGAGCCTATGCTAGGCACCAGCAAACCTGAGGAACTTGCAGGTGTCCAGACCTCACAGGGACTATTATTCCCCTCATTTACCCGTGAGGAAACTGAGGCTCAAGTGATTCATCGAGACTGTAGAGGAACCAAGTGCAGACCAGGTAAAGCATCCAGGTGAGAGACCCCAGGTACGCACCACTGCCAGGCGGGCCCTGTTAGGCTGGCCAATGGGAACCTTCTGGACTCACTCCTCCTAGGAGTTCACAGTGAGGTTGATGAGTTCAGACATCAAGATTTCAAGCAGCTCTAGGACTGAGCAGTTTTACTACATATACACACATGGTGGGCAGAACAGTCAGGACCAAAATTCAGTCTCGGGCTCAATGACACCTTTAAGAATTTTCATCCTGTGTGTACCTTCCTCAGAGTACAGCTTCTGGCTCCCAGCTCAAGAAATTTTAGGAAACAGTGTTCAGAGTGATGCCCACACTAGACAGGCATGTTTGCAGGGGATCATATGAGGACATGAATGACAGATCCAGTGTTCAGTGCGAGAGCCGGGTATGCGGCCACCATACCCCATCACCTGCTCCACCTCATAGCTCCTGTTCCTGAAAAGAGGCCCAGAAGCCACAAAGGAAGGCAGCATTCGTTAGCAAGCCGAGCCTGGGGGCAGCCAAGGGTAGGATGGCACTTAGCCACAGTGACACCTACAGGGAGCCAGCCAGTCAGAGAGGAGCCCTGCCGTCTCTTTCAGAGGCCCTGATACCCCACACAGAGCCCCAGGGCACAACTCCAAGAAGCCGGGGGCTTCCCAGGAACTGAGGAGACCAGGGGTGGAAGAGTGACGGTCAGTTTGGCTGGACTATACCTGGTGCTTGCAAATACCTTTTTTTGTTTTGTTTGAATTGCTTCTGTGAACAGGCATGGGTGGGTGGGTGGTCACGCTTCCTCAGGCATTCTGAGGAGACAGTTTCCTGTGATAGGGGATCCTATCCCCTGCAGGAGGTGCTAAGGCCTTCCTTGGGTCACTCAGACTCGGCAGCTTCTGGCCCTAGTCCCCAAATAAAAAGTGGTGTGTGGTCAAGAAGCCTGGCGGCAGGGCCCTCACTGCTGACCGAGCTCCTGCCTCAAGGTGCAGGAAGGGGAGCTAGTGGGGGCCACGTGAAGGACAGGTGCTCCATGGCTGTAGAGACCCCACCCTGTTCCTCTCTCTCACTGCTGAGCACAGTGTTGGGGCACCAGGGCACACGCTGTGAGGACAGCGGATTACACCGGATGCCACTGGACGAGGAAATGAACCACTACCTGAGGGTGGGTGTGGTCTGTACATGATGAGGAGACAGACATAAATGGAGGACAGAGAAAGACCCCCAGCAGTGCAGTTATGGAGATGGCCATGGTGAACCAGAATCACGAGATCCTGCACAGGCAGTAAGACCAGAGGCTGCAATGCCCACTGCACCGTGGTCTGCAAAGAACTAGTCCTAATCACCAGGACCTGTGAGGGTGTTACCTTACGTGGCAAAAGGGATAAGCTGTCATGGCATTAAGACTGCTAATTGAGGGCTGGCCGAGTGGCTCAGTTGGTTAAGAGCTCGCTCAAGAGTTTGAGCTCTGAGCAACAGCGGTTCGATTCCCAGCCCGAGCTGAGCAGCCTCTAAGCTGCCAACAGGTGGCAGGGTGGCTCAGCTTAAAATAAATAAATAAATAAATAAAGACTGCTAATTGTGTGAGATTAAAATAGGAAGATTATCCTGGATCACCCCGGTGGGCCCCCTGTAATCACACGGCCCTTAAAGTGGAAGAGGAAGGGAAAAGTAAGCGTAACGCAGTGCGACAGGGTTCAGCCCTCTCTTGCTGGCTCTGAAGATGGAGGGAGGGGCCACGAGCCAAGGACTGCAGAGGCCTGGAGAGGCTGGAAAAGGCCAGGAAGGACATTCTCCCCTGAGCCTCCAGAAAGGAGAGAAGCCTGCTGAAACCTTGACTGTAGCCCAGTGAGACCCATTTCAGACTTCTGAGCTCCAGCACTGAAGCACAACAAATGGGTGTCATTGTAAACCACTAAACGTGTGGCAACTGGTTACAGCAGCAACAAGAGACAACGTGGAGAGGCTCAGCTTCCCTTGGAGGTCGATTTCAAGTCTTCAGAATCCTAAAGCAGGTTTCTGAGGGCTGCTATTTTTGCAGGAAAGACAAACTCAATCCTGCCACCACCTCTCCCTCCCACCCAGGTGGCATCACTAACCAAAGCATCCCATCCACAGAGCCCAGCCAGGCCTAGGAAGCCTCTGCCCACAGCCTCGGGTGGCCAGGTCCTATCGCTGCGGATGAGCCGGCAGCCTGGCTGTGTGGTCTCCCACATGCAGACCCATCAGCTCTGGCTGTGCTTCTACAGATGCTGTGACTGGCATGTTCCCCAAGTTATTGCCAAGTGCTCACTGTGCACCAGGCTCTGCAGGCGGCACCAGAGAGATAAATGGCTCAGTTCTAGTCTTTTCTCGTGAGGAAAGTCCAAGTGCTTCCTTGGAAGGAAAACGAAAATCTAAAACTGTGTAAATCCAATCATTCTTATAAAGGAGAGGTGAGCACGACATCTGTGATGATGAAAGCTGAGGAGGTGCCACCCTGGAAAGGATGCCCTGAGCGGGCAGGCCTGTCAGGCTGGACACACAGCCTGTGCTTATCAGGAGCACAGGTGGGAACCCGGGCTAAGGGACGCCCAGCTCCTTGCTGGGCCTCCACATGGAACCAGGAGACTGTGTTGGCATCACTGTCCAGAGCGGGTGAGCAGAGGCGGACCCATGGGCACGTGGGCACAGGAGGGCATAGCGCGGCCGTCCTACCTTGAACACCTTGATCTGGCAGCTGGCTGAGTGCAAGTGCTCGGTGTACTCCCCATTCTCGTTCTGCTTAAATGTATCAATCTGCACTCGAAAAGGCACTCCCTTCTCACCCCCATGCTTCCTTGGCGTGAACTCTGTGCTGATACAGTGCACCTGGAAGGGGAAACGTGGGGCAGACAGCACGATGGGGCGAGGGCCGGCTCTGGATTCCCCAGGGCTTCCTCCCAAATGGAGGTTCCCATCCTGCCCGGTCAGGCGCAGACTGCCTCAACCTCCCTGCTGCCCCCAGGCTGTCCACTCTGTCGGGCCAATGGCCTCCCCAGTGCCCGGTCTACAAAGGACATGCCCTCCCACCTGTATCCCTTGACCTCGAAGGCCCTGCCTGACCAGCTAAACCCTCACCATTGCTCTAGGCCCACTGACCCCAGTAGCCCCACCCTTGTTCCTCAGCCAGTGACCTCTCCCTTGGCAAATCCTACAGACTACAGAGCAGGGACCACAGCTCAGTCCCTAACGGCCTGCTGTCCAGGTTATTCGGGCCAGGCCAGAAGCATGACCAGAAGGCTGGAACCATTTCTGTAAGTACCTGCTACATAAAAGGTACTTGATATATATTTATTGTTATAATACAATTTGTCGGACTAACATAATATGTTATTATAATAATATGATAATACTGTAATAATTTTCAAATACAGTGAGAATACTACAATTACGGGGGAAAAATGCTCACTAACGTCTACTGAGTGACTATGATGGACCAGACACTATTAATGGCTTTAGGTTCATTATCTGATTTGTAAGACCAGTGAGGAAACTAAGACACTCAAAAAGGGGATACCCAGCGAGTGAGAGAGCCAGGAGCAAGCCCCGAAATGTAGCAGTGGCCATGCCTTTTAGCCAACTCTATCTTCTGTCACGTTTACCCCAAGGGTGGACCCACACCAGGGGCTTGATAATTATGTATTTTTAAGAACAAACTATTATGGAACATTTTTTACTTCAAATTATTCATTCCAGGAAATGCTTGTTTTACAACAAGCTTACATATTCATAAGCAAAACCCACATAGGATTCTAAAATATTCCAGTCCTTTTCCCAGCCCTGTGACCAACTAGCTCTGATTATGTAACACTCCACACTTCCTCCCCTTCGGCCTCCTTCCTTGCAACAAACAGGAGCCCGGCAGGGCCCTGCAGAAGGGATGGTTTTGAGGGACTGAAAAATGGGCCCCAAAGCTCTGGCTTCCGCCACAGAGGGCCAGCTCCCTCCTACTTACCTGAATGAACGCAGAGGCTCTCTTCGAAGGGTCCCACAAAAACTCGACTGCATTCAGCTGGGTCGGGCTGGCCCTGGGGTCCAAGATACCAACAGACAGTGGAATATCTGCACACACATACACACACACAAAAGTGCAATTGTCAGCCACTCCCAAATATTGAGGGAAGGACTCTCATTACAGGTCCAAATTCCTTAGCCACAAGTTGAAATCCCAATAGTTTTGAAACTTGTTTGACAGAAAGCCTGACTTGAATTGCCATGAAGCTATTTCATCTTTACGCCATTTCATGTAAACCGTCATTTTAGTCTGCTGCAAAAAGAGCTGTGCTGGACTGCCTGCTGGAGGCCTTCCCCGTGCTCCGGGTTTGCACACTGCACCCTGCTGCCATCCTAACTTCTGAATCCTAGAACCCATCTGGCCCGGAGGGCTGTGGATAAAGGACTATGGACCAGTGCCCGAGCCCCCAAGGTTCCATTGCTATTGCATCTCTGTGGTGCTCGGCCTTCCCTTTATCACTTAGCGAAGTCCTTCTGCAAAGCCCTGGCGGCACCCCCTGGAGGCAGGTCCACTCCCACGGGCTTCACACAAGACAGAAGTATGCTAAGATGCCCTCACAGATACAGGTCCACATGATGTCCAGGAAGAACCCCAACGTGCGGGGCGCCTTTGGCCTGTCCTGGCCCGGGAGACTCACCGATGTCCAGGATCCTGTCCCCAGGCCGGCTCCACCGCCAGCCCTCTAGCTGCTGGTGCTCTGTGTACTGCAGACGGCGGTCGTGGAAAACCACACGGATGATGCTCTGGGGAAGGGAGGCCGGCAGGGGACGGATGAGTGTGGGGGCCAAGAGAGTGCCAAGAGGAACCGCTGCCCTCACCTTCTGAGCCGGGGCACTCCCCCTGCCCTTCAAGGCCACTCCTCCTGGCGCCTTCTGTCCCGGCTCTCCAGCCCCATGTGCTACCCCGCTCCCTCTGCAGAACCCCAACGACACTAACAACAGTAAGAATAGTTACAACTACCCTTCTTTCCACAAGTACAAAGTGCTTAACACACATGGCTAAAACCCTTATAAACCCTTTTGTGCAGATGAGCAAATGGAAGCTCATGAAAGTTAAGTAAGTGGCAAAGCCAGGCTGGAACCCAGAGCCTGGTCCATCAGCCCACACCACTCTGGCTTGCTACGCTGCCGGCCTACCTTAGTCCCCTCGGACAACATCTTACCAAGAACAGGAACCCACTCTCCCTCTGGGGCTCTTCCTAAAACCCCAGGCTACTGCTGACCCCCCACAGCACGCCCAGGGCCTGAGGCCCCAACCAACCATACAGGGAGGGAGAGCGCCCGCCAGACTTACCTTGACATACTTTGTGTTCAGATCTTGAAAGTCTCCTAGCTTCCGGTTCTCCAATAGTCGGATTTCATAAGACTGACCTGTTGGAGCATTAATAGTCCATTTCCCATTTCTGAGTGTTTTCAAATTGGGGATCACGCAGCTAGAAGCCTTCTCAGCCTCCTCAGTGCCCGCCCAGGCCTCATGGCCACGGAGCAAAGCAGAGAAGAAAGTCCATGGCAAGCTCCGAGCACCCTCTGCACTGGACAACCCCATTTGGCCAGCCAGCCTTTGGGCCTAGGGCACCCCAAGTAGCACACCACATGACCCCGTGAGAGACAGAACCTCTATAATTTTCAAAGAAATCTAGTCTAACAAAATATATTTAGCATTAAATTTATGGAACATAACTTCATATTTCTCTAAAAAGAATGTCCACCATACACCTGAATGGAGAACACAGCTACTTAAATCCACATTAGAGTAAACAACTGACCATGTCCTTCCTGAGAGCAGGTTCAAAGGAATGAATAAAAGCCTGTTAAACATTGTCTCTAATTGCAGAATGAAAAGCATTTTCCCAAGTTAAAAGAATTTCATGTATTTAAAAGGGTGTGGGGATTCCATTTGGTAACATATAACCAGTACAAGCTGGTTAAAGAATATAAATGGAAAAAATATCCATCCATAATAACAACAAACATGAAAGTATCTATGAATCACCTGAAGAAAACTACACACCTTTTATTGGAAGATCAAATATAATTTGAATAAATGGGACATACTATGTTTCTAGAGAGGAAGACCATATATCCAATGATGTCAATTTTTCCCAAGTTAAATAAAGTTTAACCACAACTTTAAAACACCCTAGCATATATCATAATTTAACAAAGGATGTTTCACAAATAATAGAACAAATGATTTAGTCATTGGTATTGGTAAATCTGATTAGGTATTTAAAAAAAATTTTAAATAATGATAGACTCACAAGAAATTAAGAAAGGTCCCCAGTACCCAGCCCCCAGCTTCCACCAGTCGTGGTACCAGGAAATTGAAAATGGCACAATATAATTAACTAAACCCAGAACCTTATTCATATTTCCCTGGGTTTTACAGGTTTTTTCTCTTTTTATATGTATTTATGTGTACAGGTGTATGATTTTTTTCACACAGAGATTAGCTATGTTTTTCAAAGTTAAGACCCTCACCTCATAGCAGATATCAAAATACATTGCCACTGATTAAAAAGTTAATTTCCTAAGGTTTTATTTTAACTTCTTGGTCAGTAGAGAAGCCCTTTGTCAACCTAAAATCATGAGGGAAAAGGTGAATCTAGCTATATTAAAATCTTTATAACCCAGTGGCTAACAGTCTTAAAATAACTAAAAGGGAAATGATTAGAAAAATACTAAGACCCCTTCTAGTGAGTTGAATGGTGCCACCACCACTGCCCCAAAATATGTCTATACCCTAATCTTCAGAACCTGTGAGTGTTACCTTATATTTAGAAAAAAAAGAGTCTTTGCAGATGCAATTGAGTTAAGAATACTGAGATAAGGAGATCATCCTGGATTGTCCTGGATGTCTCTAAGTCCAATGACAAATGTCCTTGGAAGAGACACACAGAGGAGACAGAAAGAAGAGGCGGTCACATGAACATAAGAGCAGAGATGGGAGTGATACCGCCACGAGCCAAGGACTGCCTGGAGCCACCAAAGGCTGGAAGAGACAAAGAGCAGATTCACCCTGAAAGTCCCCAGACAGAGCATGGCCCTGGTGGCTTTACGACTTGCACCCCCCCCTCCCCAGAACTGTGAGAGAATCAACTTCAGTTGTTTTCAACCAACATGTTTGCAATAATCTGTTGAAGCAGTCACAGGAAACTAAAACATCACCTCCACACACACACATACACACAATGAATAACAGAATGGGCAAAGAACATGAAATTAAATCATTCATCCCAAATATCTGCTGAGCAACAACTACGTGCCAAATGCCATGCAAATCCTAGGACGTGGAGATGGCAGATGGACACGCGCTGTGTGTCAGCGCGCTCATCACCACAGCTCCCCCCAGGCCTGGAAACGAAGCCGGCCGAGCCCAGACATACCCACTCAGCGAACCTCCCTTCTCGGCAAGGTGGGACCCCTCCCCTCCACCCCGCTTTGACCAGCCCATCTTACAGGACCAGCGGGCACTTCATGAAAATACCAGGGCCCAGCACTGCTCAGGATGAGGCTCCGGGCATATCACATTACAGGGAAGACACGTGAACCCCAAACTGTTGTCCTGCCCACTTGCTGGTTCAGAAGACGCAACTCATACAAGGGTCTTGCTGACCTAATTGACACTTCTGGCTTTCTGAAAAAGCCAGATTTTTAACCTACATTTTCAGGCTCCTGAGCCAACACTCTCTTGACAGCAACATAAAATGGAGCCTCTCACACCCTAACTGGTTTTTCCAGTGTCCTCCACCTCCCCAAGGAAGAATGTAACAAGTGGTGGCATGAAGCCCAAGGCCCAAGTGGTCATTATGTGGGTTTTCAGGCACTCCAGGGCCCAATTAATACTGACCCCGGACTCTGCAGGGCAACCTCAGCTTATGCCCAGCAGGAAGCACCTCCTGTCCCATACAGAGCAGTTCTATGAAGTGGGGCTTTAGGCCCAGGGTCACGGCCTCCTCCACCAGCAGCACAGACCTGACCCAGGCACTTCCCCACAGAATCTCCCTTCCTCAACTGTTCTTCCTGCAGGCATATGCTAGAAACCATCCCAGCCACTCCCCACATCCCTGACTCTCTCAGGCCTCGGGCAGGACAGACGTCTAGCCTCCCTCCACTTGCCTGCCTCAGTGACAACACACTGGCCTCCACTCTCACACACCACAGCACCATCCAGAAGACCCCTGGTCATGGACACACACTAGCTGATGAGCGAGGTCAGGAAAGCTGAATTGACCTGAGGCACACAGGCTAAGCCGGGTCATCTTGGGGCACGCATGGGAGCCATGGAAAGTGGGCTCTGTGAAGGCACAGACTGTCTGTTTTGCTTACCACTGTACTGTTTGACACATAATAGGTATTTAGCAAAAGCTTAAATGTGATTTCAAATTCTTTGCAATGCCACTCTGTGCTAGGACTGCAGGGTTTGCAAAAGTACGACATACTCCTGCCCTCAAAGGATTAACAATCTTTTGGGGTACACCAAAGAGCACAACAAAAATACCAACATAAGCAGAATTTGAAAAATCCCTCAAAGAGACAGGCAATACTCATCAGGAATGGGAAGCAAGAATGCTGAAAAAGGTTTGAGCAAGGAGATAACATTAGAGATGGGTTTTGAAGAGTGGGCAGGATTTTGCTAGTTGAGGGGAATAACGAATAAGAAAGCAATCCTAAGTAAAACTACAGCAAGGAGAGCAGCTGGGTGGCTCAGTTGGTTGGAGCGCATGCCGGTTCGATTCCCACATGGGCCAGTGAGCTGTGCCTCTGCAACTAGACTGAAAGACAATGACTTGACTTGGAGCTGATGGGTCCAGGAAAAAACGCACTGTTACCCAATTAAAAAAAAAAAAACTATAGCAAGGAGGTAGTAGGAGAGAGGCTTGCCTCTAGGGAACAATAACTAACAGCTTTCATCTACTAGGGGCTTACACAGTGGCAAAGTGTTTTCGGGTATTAAGTCACCCAAATCTCAGAACATGTCAAAGGGATCATTTAAGATTATGAGCCCCACTGACAGAAGGAAGCAGCAGCTGAGAGAGGTTACCTGACTTGGACAAACACACCGCTGGTAAGTGGCAGAGCCAGGAGCAAAAACTAAATCTGTTTCCAGAACCTACCACATTCTTTGCCACATCCTATGTGGTGGGTGTTGTTTGCTGGTCAGAAGACACCTGTAGCTCTACATGATCCTTTCAACTCCTTTCTAGAAGGCATCGGATTCCATTTTGCACACTGAAGAAGGTTTGCCTACAGCGTCTTATGGCATGAAAAGCACCCAGCCATGGCCATCCCAAGTTAAGATGGTGTTTTTCTCCTTCCTTCTCCCATTTAGGACTAGCAATAAAGATGAGTTCTAGGATGACCAACTTAGCTTGTCGGTGACTGTTTCCTATAGTCTGAACAATGACCGGGGAGGAAAAACAAATCACTACAGAAAATGATAGTAAAGCCTGCTCTCATTTCAGAATTGTGAAATGTGGAGAAAGAAAATAAAATTGGTCTTAGAATCAAGGAAATAGGGTAACAAATAACTACCAGTTAGCTATTGTCCAGCTATGCATCAGGACATTACCAAACCCACTATGTGCATTATTTCATTTAGTCCTCTCAACAACCCATGAGGAGGGCCGGCCAAGTGGCATGTTGGTTGCCAGTTGGCTTGGGATGCCAGCTCTGAGCAGCAAGGCCCAGGTTTGGATCCCACATGAGGGCCAGCGATGCTGTGCCCTCTACATCTAAAATGTTGAACAACAGCTCGACCTGGAGCTGGGCTGCTGTGAGTTGCCGGCATCGTTTTAGGCTGCAGTGGAGCTGGCCAGCAGCAGGCGTGAGCTTTCAGGAGCGGCCGCCCAATGGCCAGTGAGCAACTGCCTCACCCAGGAAGAGCGCAATAATACTAAAATGGGCCAGTGAAATGATGTCCTTCACAACTAGACTGAAGAACAAAAGGACAGCAACTTGTCTGTTCCCCTCCCCCAATTCCCCAATAAAATCTTTAAAAAAAAAACAAAAAACGATCCATGAGGAAAACCCATTACTGCCCCCATTTTATAGATAAAGAAGTTAAGATCCAGAGAGACTAAGTATCTTATTGAAGATCAAACCTGGATGGTATCTCTGACTCCAAGGACTGATCACTTAGCCAAACTACTCCACACAATGTCTAGTTACTTCAAAGGGTCCTTCTGATTCTAATATTCAAGGAGTCCATCTATTACATTTCTCCTAAATTTCTTGATATTCATTTTATTTTGTGATCCTCTTCTACACACCTAACCCCCCCCCCCACTCTTCCTTTGAGGCTCAAATCCTTAATGCCCCATAACCTCAGTTCTCTGAACCAAGGGGGACCTTAGAGGTCCATGTGGATA